TTAGGAATAATAAAATTTATTACAATAGCTAGTTGTCTTTCTCCATTTCTTTCGCAGTTACTTTACATCTCGATGCTTTTGTGTCGCTCTTTTTTTTATGCATGTATACTTATACCAGTTTGTGCTCAAACTAGTCGACGAAAAAACGAGTTTGAGAAAATCTATGTAATAGTATTGTGCATTTGTAGTAATTACATAAATTACATAAAATACATATAATTTACATATTCGTTATGTCTGGGATAGACGGGACAACTGTAACCCCAAATCTGTATTACTTTTTAGCGTATGGACCTCTATTTTTAGGTGGAGTCTATTATATACACGGGCGATGAGAGTATAATTAATGTAACCTAATACTTTAGCAGGACACTTTTGTGCAGAGACCTCAGAAGCGACACTTCAGTTGACGCGAACGTGTGTTCATTTTATATTTATATTTCCGTATTTATCTTCACCATTAATAGAGTTCTTGGACATATGTCAATTCAAGTGATTTATAACTTGTTTTCATATCTTACTAGATTTAAAAAAAATAGAAATAGAATTAGTTTTTAGAAAGTAATACTTATTATGCTGCTAGTGCCCGAATATATTTTCACATGATTTCGTTACATTCAAGGTTTTGCCATCGATTTGCATAGAAAAAACAGTATTAAGTTTTGAAAAGATTAGAAAATATATAGCGTCTTCTTATTACAGAGAAATTATTTATTAATGCTTACAGTTTACTATTTTGATATGTTAAAATCTCACTATTATGTGCCAAAATAAATAAAAATGCATAGTCTCAAGAGTATACAAAAGAAAATGAATGTTTTAAAAGTCGAGTGAGTTATGAAAATCTGCAGAAAAAAACTACTAAAAAAAAAAATTACTCTTAAGAAATGAAAACAAAGAGCAAAGATAAATGGTTTTCACGGCAATAAGTCAGATGTAGGTAGTGAAGCTGAAATGATGGAATCTTTAGGTAATTTTTACTTATGCTGCATAATAAAGAAAAAAAAAAGAAAAATACAAGTATAAAGGCTAGATTTCAAAAACTTAACGTGTTGTACATGGTGTAAAAAAGTAGGTAAAATTATAGCGAGGCACAATATGATAGATTGTATAAAATAAAGATTAGGATAAAAAAATACAAGAATCATGGCTATTGTATAGCGAAGAAACGATCATTTATCTTTAGAGGCTAAGTAAAACACATGTTTTCTGATTATCTGCAAAATGTGTTAAAAAACCATTTCAGTAACCATCACGTAATGTATTTTACAAAGAAAAACTGAGAAAAAAAAATTGATTTTACAACGAAACATACAAATAAGAAAAATGCATGTGATACGTGAATGTCAGGTGACATACACTTCCTACGTTATTTAAAACTAGATTAAAAAGTTAACCATACCTACGAAATAAAAATCTTGAACACTTTCCATAAAGTTTTATGATACATCTATAACACACATTCGATTTTTCTGCTACATTCTTTCGTTCATGTTCTTACTCTCTGTTTTCTTTCTCAGTTAAACACAAAAAAAAAAAATCAAACGAAACATTTGTACTTTAGCAGTGTAGAGCAGTCGTTTTTATTTATTTTAAGGATTATTGATGTGTATATATATCTTTATCATACATATACATATTTATTCAATTATTATCTATGAAAGATTACATA